GAGTAAGAGTGGACCACTGTGGAAAAGAGCACAGTGGCCAAGAACTTCATGGTGCTGTCTTTATATCTCCCACGGCCTCAGGATGAGGTCCGGTCTAGCTGTCCTATCAAAAACCTACTTGATTTCTGCAACAAGAATTGAAGGGGGCACTTTCTGATTGGTTCCGCATGCAGGGTTTGGGTCTGGGTCTCCTGGATCTCCCTGACTGACAGCTCACACCCACTGGCCTGTCCAGTTCACCAAGCCCTAATCTGTAAGCTGCCTCAACAGCACCAGTGACAAGCACTGGGGGAGAATCAGAAGACAGAACCACCCACTTCCCTGCACAGCCACCACCTCCTCGCACACTGCTCATGAAGAGATAGGCCAGTAAAGCCCTGGGCTTACCCTTCATTTTGTAGTTACACAGAGCTGTGTCACCAAAAGCCTTATTCATTCCAGAATCAAGGATCAGGTGAGTTTCCTAGAGCTCTGGTTGGTTTCCAGGATCAGAAATCAGCAGAATTATTCTGCCCACTTTGATTTCTCATTTCTCTGATGTGCTTATTATCCAGCCAGTAGTAGGAGTACCAGAACTTACTAATGGCTGTATAGAAGTGGTCGCGGGAGCTGGTGGACACGGGTTCATCGGGAGCCATCCAACTACCCTGGGTCAGGAAGGACTGCTTTACCCCTGGTACCCAGTACCCAGTACCCAGCCTGAAGAGAGTCGCTACTGGATAATCCAGGGAATAATCCATTTCTACTTCACGTGTTTCAATCTGACTTTGGATTTTTATTTTCACCTACGTGGCCATGTCACTGCTAGTTTGGGTCCTTGCTTTAGTAATGATAGACATTAAAACTACAGCACAAGTTTACCCAAAAGAATTTTTAATTGTAATGTTAGAGAAAGATAGAAGAGGAGCCAGCTTAGGGAGCTGGAAGGGGTACAGGTCTTGGACGGGCCCATCCACAAAGGCAGAGGCTAGCTTCTAAGCATTAACTGGTGAGCCGGGATCCAGCTGGTCATTTTGTCAGTTGTGGCCTCATAGTTGGAGAATTTTTGTGACTGAGAGAAGGTTTCATCCCCAGAAAAGGCTTCTCTCTGTGGTGATCTTGGTCCTGTAAGGTTCTGCTTTTTCTGGAATCTAGATGCTCCCAGACTTAGAACAAAGATTTCAAAGCACCATTGAACATTCCTGGAAATCCCCAATCTGGTGTTCTCAATCTTAGGTGGGATGAGAGCATGCAAACTTAGGGCTCACCCAACCTTGTTTTGCCAATTTTTAGATGGACACTCCCTAAACAGTAAATATATCTCTATGTAGACCTGAGAGGAGATTTGACCCAAATTTTACAGCAACAAAGGATACAAAATGAAAATCCAGTCCTGGTTGTGCCAGGAGGGAACACAAATCCTACTGAGTAAGCAGGAGGTAAGTGCCCAGGGCGTCCTGCCTGTTTCTCCATCCCTATAGCAATCCCTATTTTATTATTCTTGTACCCATAAAATGGGCTGTGTTCCAAGTAGTTCTCCTTACTCCTTAGGTGGATGTCTCCATTCAAATTGTTCAGAGATCTCAAGGTTTTTCTAACCCCTCACCAGTGGTCTGGACCTTGCCAGCATATTTAAAGGATGTTACATTCTCTTAGCTAAAGTCTGAAATCAAAAGTTTGTGTGTATTCTTCTATAACTAGTGATTAAGAAAATGAAAAAGTCATGCCTTTGCTTTTCAAGTAGCTCCCCCTCCCTGCCTCTCTCCATCCTGCTAATGACTAGATTTGCACCTGACATTATGACTGTGTCAGGCACGGCCTAACCATTAGGCTTTCTAAAGGACCTTATAAGGATGGGGAATACTGGAACTGGAGGCTCTTAGCCCACAAGGAAATCCAGGAACTTTTTCTCTAGACGCTAACCTTCTTATGCAGGAAGACTAGGAGTAGATCCTTCAAGGCTTTGGCTGAGGGGGTCTCTTTCTCTGATGTGATGACACAAATCATTAACTAATTTTACCCCTTCCTTTTCCCCATGCTGGCCTGCCCCACTGCCAAGACAGTTGGTGCTGAATGTTACCGATTCCTAGGCTCTACAATTTACTATTCGGTTTCATTTAATTCCTCTGGACTTCAGGAGGTCTAGTATTCTCCTTGGCTTCCTCACCCCACTTTATTTTTCTTAGTTTAATTTTAAAAACAGCCATTCAATTGGTTTCTACATCAAAATCATACATGAAAATGTACACAATGAGAAACATTACTTCCTGTTGTCTCCGCCCACTCACCACTCCGTAGGCAGCCGATTTTGTTTCTTATGAACTCTAGATTGTGTTCTCTACCTTGTTTTTTATTTTGAATTGAACAAAGAAAGAGCTATCTGTCTAAAGCAAAATTAATGAGTAAATATTCGCTTTGTCAGATTAGCGGCTGTTGAGGACTGATGTACATGAATTTCTTCCCTGTTATCCTCGTTTACTGAAAAGCAATCTACTTTCTATGATAGGACTACATCTTAGTGGATTTAGTAAACTTGCCTTCCTTTTTCCCTTTACTTTTTTTATCATAGCAAAATACATATAAAATGTATTATTTCAGGGGCTGGGGATTTAGTTCAGCAGCATAAGCGCCTGCCTGGCAAGTGCGAGGTCATGAGTTCGATCCCCGGTACTGCCAAAAAAAAAAAAATTATCATTTGTATTTTAACCATTTTGAAGTGTATGGCTCTGTGATGCGTAAGGCTGTCAGCTTGCTTGAGTTAAGAAACTTCTGGAGAGGCGACTGGATCACACTACACTCATTAATGGATGTTCAAAGCTGGACGTGCTGCCAGCCGACGAGGCTGTTAGAGGTGGGTCACCGAGCGAGTGCTTTTAGGGGTGTATCTCAGCTTTTCCAACCCACTCTGCTTCTCTGTCCTGGTGAGCTGAGCAGTTCTACCTTTCTGTGATATTTCTGTTTTGGAGCCAGCTAACCATGGACTAAAACCTCTACAACTGTGACCCATATTAAACCTCCTTTACGTTGCATCAGGTTTTTTGTATGTTGGCCAACACAAGTCCAGTGGCGGTAAGTGCCACACATTTATATTGTGCAACTATCACTGCCATCTGTCTCTAGAACTTTTATCTTCTCAAACTCCAGCCCCATTAAACTCTGACTCGGCTCTCCACCCTCCTCCCCAGCCCCTGGCTGTCACCATTCTGTTTTCTGTCTCTATGAATCTGACTACTCTAAGTACCTCACAGAAATAGAATCATACACTACTTGTCCTTTTGCAACTGGCCTATTTCATTCAGCATAATGTCTTCAAAGTTTATCCGTATTTGCAGCATGTTATAATTTATTTTTATTATGTTATTAATTTATTCCACTGCATGTACATTTTATGTGTCCATTTGTCTTATCAGTGGGCATTCAGGTTACCTCCAGCTTCAGGCTGTTGCGAATAAAGCTGCTATTGTTACTGGCCACTCAAGTCTACAAGAGCACTGCTCCCAAAAATACATGGGAGGGATGGTGAAAATGGAAAAGGCTTCATTAAAGGTAGCTCTGATGGGGCCGGGGGGGGGGGGGGGGCGCTAGGGCATCCTGTTGCCTCAAATCACCGTCTCCCCACGTCCAGGTGTAGAAGGTTCTTTGCGGTAAGGAACAGAGGGCAAAGGAGATACAATGAGCCAACAGAAGACTCTAAGCCTGCCTCATCCTTCCTTGTGGAAGGGGAACTGGATCCTGACCTGGTGCCAGCATCTGCATATTCTGTCCATCACTGTGGCTGCGTGGAGGAAAAACTGGCCGTTGTTTTGTTGTTTTGTTTGGATGTCCTAGGTCTGAAGAAGTCTGGAGAAGCAGCATCTCTAGAGGAAAAAATTCTAAAGTTCTACTTTGCCCTGCCAGTTACACTGTGAATATAAATGTATAAATATCCGTGCCTGTATCTCCCTTCAATTCGTCTGAATATACAGTCAGAAATGGAGTTGCTGGATCATATAGCAACTTTATGTTACGTTTTTTTAGGAACCATCATGCACATTATTTTTCACAGCAGCTGCACCATTTTAACATTCTCCCCAGCACTGCACAAGGACTCCATGAAATCACTGACTTTTATAACAATTTTCCTGATTACAGTACATGTTCACATTAGGAGATGTAGAACATTCAAAAAAGCAAAATGAGGAAATTAAAATTCCCTTTGTAAGTACCGAGGCATGGTCTGAATTCATATTCCCAACACAAATGGAAGAAATTGTTTTCCTGGGACGATTCCATTGCCATGATTGACCAGGTGCCAGAACAGCGCTGCCGCCTGTGCAGCCTGGCCCTCACCTCGGCCGCCATCGCGGTTTACGCAGCTCAAGCGGCTCCCGGGATGTCGCTCAGGGGTAGAGCCCTGGCCGGGCGTGAGCGACCGGGTTCCATCTTCAGTACAAAAGACTGAGTGTTCCTGAGTGCTCCCGAGTCCTCTGCGGGGTGTTCCCGGGAGGGGTGTCGTTCTCCGTGGTTCTGTCCGTCATCTTTAAAGCCACCTCTGGGTTGATAGGGCACAATAAATATTTGCGGTGACTTCTCTAGAGACACGCGTTCTACAAACACACCATCCAGGTGTTTAGAACTGAACTCTCTTGATCCTCAGGTTCATAAGCGTGATGATTGGGTGTTCATGCTCCATGCATGACATGTGCCTCCTTTGAACCTTGTTACGACATCTGCACATTACCCATCTGACGTGGGAAAAAAAAAAAAGAACTGTAGACCACAGGGCACGAAAACACGCGCGTCCGGTGGCTCAAACGCTAGCACCAGCACCACCCCCGCCCAGAAGCAAAGAGAAAAACCTCCGCCTCGCTTTATTTCTCCACGTACCCATTGGCCAGCGCCTCAGAGGACCCGCCTTTCACCCGCTCTCTTCCTATCACCATCGCCATCCGTCTCCCCGCCCGTGTTCTCATTGGTTCTCCCCGAGGTCGCGGTCCAATGTCAGCCACTGGGAGCCTCTACACTGGTGTTTTAAAAAACTCCGGCCCTGAAGTAGGCGGTGCCAGAAATTTGAACGGAAGGCGGTGCGGAGGGCCGCCGAGCACCGGCTTCCTCGCGTGGAGCACGTTCTCCGTCTCGTGGACCTTCAGTCTCAGGACCGGGAGGCCAGACCGGAGCCGTGGGGCTGCGCGCCAGACCCTCCGCGGCCCGCCATGGGCCCGCGCCGGAGCCGCCGCAAGCCAGAGACCCCGAGAAGGCGCACCGAGAGCCCGTCCGGCGAGACGTCCCGGCCGAGGACCTCAGGTAACCCGGCCGCCACGCCACGCTTCCGCCGCCAGCCCAGCGAGGGATGCAGCCGAGAGGACCGGCCAGGCCCCTGCTCCTCAGCTAGGTCCCCTCGCTACCAGCCTTCGTGCAGCGCCTGACACTGACTAGATGTGTGCTTCACTGCTCTGCGTGCAGTATCCTCACTTTATTTTCTCGGTGCAGGGGATTGAACCCAGGCTTTCACACAGCTGCATCCTCATCCCGTTTTAAAACTTGTGATCAAGGGCCGGGGATTTAGTTTAGCTGCGTAAGTGCCTGCCTGGCAAGCACAAGGTCGCAAGTTCAATCCCCGCTACCTAAATAAATAAATCTTGCCATCTTCTGGTGTTTTGTTTTGTTTTTTGGTGCCAGGGATTGAACTCATGACCTCATGTTTGCCAAGCAGGCACTACTTAAGCCACTGAGATAAACCCCAGCCCCAAACTTGCGTAATCTTTAGCCAGCGCCTTGGTAAGTTGCCCAGGCTGGGCGCGAATTTGCTGTTCTGCCTCAGCCTCCCAGAGGCCTAGGATAGCAGGGGTGTGCTACTACTCCCAGATTATTGTACCCATTTACAGCTAGTGAGAAAACTGGAACCGAGACAGCGTAACTTCAGCAAAATCACACCTGGCTATGGAAAGGCCAGGACATTTGATTGTCCTTTTTTAAGTTGCAGAAGGATCCGCAACGGTACTGTTATCTTTCCAGGTTTTCCCTCAGTGAGCAGCAACTGGGCTCCTTGTGCTCACCCGCTTCCTTTTTCAAGGTTGCGACCCTGGAAGGGCCGAGAGGTCCGCGGCCCTCCTTTTCTAGATTTCAGGTCGGAGGTGGAAGTTGCCTGTGCGGCATAGAACGGCCACAGCCAATGTCTTACGCTCCCCTTTATCGGGGCATATTAGTTATATTAATACTAAAGAATAATGTGTTTTTATTTTGACATATGGGTGCATGCATATAACATATATTTATTGTTTTCATCCTTCTTACCCCTTTCTCCCTTTACTAACCCTCTTCCCCATTCTAAGTCTACTCTTTAGTTTCCTGCCATCTCTCTATTTATTTAACATTTGTTTTCAGGTAGGTTATATAAGAAGACATGCGCTATTTCACTTTCTGAGTCTGGCTTCTTTTGCTTAATGTGATGGGCTCCAGTTCCATCTATTTTCCTCCAAATGCCATGATTTCAGTCTTTATTTCTTTACCACAGGCAGTAATGAGGATTGAATTCAAGAATTGCTCTGCTACATCTCCAGCCCAGGCCCACTGTCCCACCAAGCTAAGCTGCCCAGGCTGGGCTTCAATTTGTGATCTCATTCTTTATGGCTGAATAATACTCCACTGTGTATATAGACCACATTTTTTTTATCCATTCGTCTGTCGATGGGCATCTAGGCTGTTTATCTACAGCTTAGCTACTGCAAATTGTCACATGTGATCAGTATAGTAGGCTGTCTTTAATTCTTTGGGGAATATATCAAAGAGTCCTATAGCTAGATCAAATGGTATATCTATTATTTTTGTTGTTTGAGGAATCTTCATACTGACTTCCGTAATGGTACTAATTTACAGTCAATGTAGGAGTACTGCTTCTAACTCTTGCTACCTAGTTGAGAGCAGGGTGCAAAGTGTATTACAGTTGTGAGTGGAATTTTTTTGCTTTTATTTTATCCTAAAAGTCATTTAAATTTTGCATCTGTCACTTGCTGACTTTTCGTTGAGAGCCTTTCCGTTGCATCCGTTGGAATTTTAGAGCAGAATATTTTCATATCACCTGCAAATAATGACTTTTGAATGTTCTCTTTGCATCTTTACACATTTTATTTCTTACTGCATGGTACCAGTGCGGCCCTGAGACTGGTGTTGTAGGAGCAGTGTCCTGGCCATCTGTCTCCTTCGTGCTCATGGGAATATGGAGTATGACGTTTGCTGTTGGTTTGCAGTGTGGCAGTGTCCTTCCACTACTCCTGGGTAAATGACAAGTTTTCCCTTAAATAGGTACTGGACGCTTCCTGGCAGAGCATTTCAGTAAACAGCACAGCCGTGCACCTAGTAGTTCAGGCCAGAAACCTGGGAGACGTTCTTTTCTTTTAGCCCCACGTCCACCCAGGTGGAAGGAAGTTCAAGCAGTTCTACTCCAGGCTGACCTCAATCACACCACCAAGAGTACTTTTTAATTTAGTATTTCTTTCGTGCGATTTTTTTCATTGAGCTTAAGAACTAACACTAAGGGGCTGGAGGTTTAGCTCAGAGGCATAAGCGCCTGCCTCGATCCCCAGTACCGATAAAAAGGAAAAAGACAGAAAAAAAAAGAACACTAATAGAACTTAGCTCAAGTATCATTCAATGTTTTATTTTCTGATAGACATATATTAAAGTTATGCATTTTCCTGAATACTATTTTTGGCTGTATCTATGTTTCATTTGGGTTTTTGTTTGGTTGGTTTTGATTTGGTTTGGTTTTTGGTTTTTGTGAGACTGGTGTTGCTGTGCAGTTCAGGCTGGCCTTGAACTCACTGTGTAGCCCAGGATGGCCTCAAACTCTAGATGATCCTTCCGCCTCAGCCTCCCAAATTCAGGGATTATAGGCTTGTGCCATCACAACTGGCCTTATTAATAGTTTTGAAAAGTATGTTTTGTTTATTCATAGGTTTTGAAAAGTACGTTTTGTTTTGTTCTGTTCTGTAGTTTGAGACAGGGTCTTCTCACTTTGTACTTCAAGCTGGCCTTGAACTTACTATGTAGCCCAGACTAGCCTCGAAATCCTCCTGCCTCAGCTTCCTGAGTGCTAAGATAAATGGCATGTGCCACCATGCCCAATTAAGGGGTATATTTAGGATTATTATTATTATTATTTGTTTTAAACAATCCAATTGCAGTTACATTTTCTCATCAATATGAAGGTTAGGTCTCTTTTGTGGGGGGGTTGATATTCTTGTGTTTTTAATTTCTGATTAAAGAATTTAATCTTTTTATTTTACTTTTGATGAAGGTTTTTTCTTTTTTGTTGTTGAAGCTAGAAGTTGACCCAAAGGCTACAACTCTGTAGCCTGCATTCCTGACACTGGCAGAGAGCTACACCCTTCTGTAGCCCTAACTTAGCCTCTGATGAACTCTGGCCATCTGTCTTCCTTCTCCAAGTCCAAGGATAATCAAGACAAGGGAATGTTACCAGATAATCTCTGATAGGCCCAAGCTATTTGAGGTAAATTTAACCAGAATAACCAAGTTTCCAGTCTAGGTGAGTGAGGTAAATGGGAGACAGCAAGTTCTTCAGGGCCTGGGGAGGCCCAACTTGTTTGCTAGGAAGGGATTAGTACTCACAAAAAGTCATTCATTCATTCCCGAAACAGGTGTGTCCTGAGCCCCCGGGTGCTGTCTCTGGTGGCTGAAGACCACAGCAGGCTGCAGTCTGGTGACCTGACAGTCCCTGTCCCACTCAGCTGCCAGGCACTGAGCCTTCCTTCCTGACCCACTCTCTTCCAGGGCGAGCCCGGCGCCTCCGCTGGCTCCGAGAGATCCGAGAGCTGCAGAAGAGCACAGACCTCTTGCTGAGGAAGGCGCCCTTCAGCCGCGTGGTGAGCGCCTGGTACCTCCCCGCCCCAGGCTTCTTCCCCTGACCTCCCAGGTGGGAGACTGGTACCTGACTTCTGAGGACACGCGTTCTCCAAGGAAGGGTGGCATGTGCGGCTCTGTGGAACTGACTCTAGCTAATGTCATTTGATTTGAAACTGCCCCTGGAGGGTATAACTAGAACCCTCCGATCCCTTTCCCCACCCTAGGGAGTCCCTCTTCAGCTGTCCTGTCCACCACCAGGGAGAGTCATGCTGCCTCCTCAGCCCCCAGAACACAGCTGCGCTAGCCAGGCCCAAGGTTAAGGCCAGGGCTAAGTGATGGGAGGGAGGGTTCCCCGGAGATCATGGGGCGTCCGTCTTCCCTCACTGCTCTCTGTTACTCTCTACCCTCCTTGCTCCCTGCCCTTCCCCATTTTGCCTCCACAGGTGAGAGAAATCTGTGCTAAATTCACCCGTGGTGTGGACTTCAACTGGCAAGCTCAGGCCCTGCTGGCCCTTCAAGAGGTGAGAGAGGGCCTGGGTAACAGGGCGGGCTGGGAGCCAGAGGAGGAACCTTCTGGAATTCTGCAGGGCTGGCAGGAGTGTGGCAGGCTGCATCCGCTTCCGGGAGCAAGCTGGAGGGGGTTCTGTGTGCTGGCTGCAGAGCTCCCTGCCCGAGCGGTCTCCCTTCGGTCCTCCGAGCGCTCAGGTCCAGTTCAGCCGGTCTCCAAGGAGAGGCAGCCAGGCCCTTGGTCTAAGTGCCCCTTCTCGCCCTGCCCTAGGCCGCAGAAGCATTTTTAGTTCACCTCTTCGAGGACGCCTACCTCCTCACCTTACATGCTGGCCGAGTCACTCTGTTCCCCAAGGATGTGCAGCTGGCCAGGAGGATCCGGGGCATTGAGGAGGGACTGGGCTGAGTGCCTGCTGCTCAGCAGAGAGTGAGTGACCATCCCCGACCCCCAGAAGGACTTCCCCTGTCAGTCTAGTCTTAGCCCCTGCTCGCACCGTCCCTCAGCGCTAGGAGAGGTTGGACCTGTGCTCGACTGCTCACAGGCCGTGACCAGTGCCTTTTGTACAATGTTAAATAAAATCTTCTATTTCGCCCCAGGTCTCTGGCGGAGTTGCCTCGCCATTTCACAAGGCCAGATCACCTCGCTTTTTTAAAGAAGACCCTGTCTTAACTTCTGAAAATGCCTCCTTATTAAATGTGATTGCTCAATTTCAAGGACAATACCTGGGACTCCAGGGCCACCAGTAAACCCAGTGACATCTGCGGTGTCCCCTGGACCTTGCTGTCCATGAGCAGTGTGCATGTGTTGCTTTTGACGTTTTCTTTATGAAGGAGGGGACTGCGTGGCTTTCCTCTGTGCCCATGAAGAGCCGGCTCAGCACCTAAGCCTGGAAGTATCTGCCAATGGAAGACCACGTCGCCTCAGTTTGTGGATTACCCATGCGACTGCTGCAGGGTTTTGAAGGCATCAGATCTGCTTTGTTGTGGAGGAAAGATATTTACTTATTGTTTTTGATTTTGCTGTACTATGCATTTTTTGGCAATATATAAATTTTTACTTTTTAAATAAAATACTTTTTTAAATATAAGGGAAAATTAATATTTCAGTGAGCTGCATAGAATGGCTGGCCAGGCACCACTAATGTACAGATCGCTCCCTTCCACATTCATCTCTTCATTGCTGTCTGTGAGGTTTTCCAAAACTGAATTGAGATTAAAATAGGGAAAAAAAAATTTTTTTTTTGGCGCTGGGGATCAAACTGAGGGCCTTGTGCATGCTAAATGTATGCTTTACCATGGAGCTCCACGCCGTGCCTGAAATAGAAAACTCTTTCAATCTTTCTGGTTTCTCCTAGGAAATCCCTATCCAAATATCAAAACCATTCAGAAATTCTGACTCTTAGAACTTAGCATTTTATACTGAGCTGTAAATCACAGAGGTATTATATTAATCAGCACAGGATTTTAAGTGGTTTTTTCAATGTTTTCATAGATAATTCTTAAAACTGCTTTTTGGAGAGATAATACAAGTAATTCTTTAATGGAAAAAAATTGAAGTTTCTATTATAGAAAGAGATGATATAAAGTCCTTTGGGTTCCAGCTCCAGCAATGCCAAAATTTTATTTTAAAAGACTGTACATGAAGTTCCTCTTTTGCACAGTTTACAGACAATCAATTTTAGAAAGGGAAGGTTTTGCTTCCAATGGACTAGAGACCTCAGAGGAAAACACCCTTCCCCCGTCACTGGAAGTGCAGGAGATCTCCACAGGGAGGAGCCGCCCCTCCCTGCTAAATGTAAATGGGCAGCCCGAGCAGACCCTGGAGATGGCAGTCAGCCAAACCCAGAGAGGGACCAGAGGAAAGCGAGAGTTTTAGTGTTTGTTTCACACAGATGTTCAAATAAAGCTCTATCTGTGTTTCATGCTGTTGGTGTGGTTCATTGAAAGATTAGAGTCTGGTCTACTTTCTTCCTAATACTTTTTTGGTTAAATAGATTAATGGATTTTATTTGGCAGATTCATACATGCACATGACCAGCTTCTGTTATTTTCAGCACCCCCCATCTCCACCTTCCCCCCCCAGTGTCCCTTTTGGGGGTGTCAGTGAGCATAGCATATTTTGCTCACAGCCACGCCCCTTTTCCCTACCCTGCTGTCCCCCCTCCCCTGATTCCCTTCCTCTTGTCTACTAATAGACCACCTCCTGCTTTCTTTGGGGATTTTTGTGCTGGGAGTTGAATTCAGGACCTTGTGCTTGCTAGGCAGGTGCTGCTGTATCCCCAGCCCCTTCTACTTTCTAAATCTGGTCATTTTAAGCAACAAAATTTTCATAAACACACAAGGAAGTTTTACACATTTTAGTTAACTAAGCAAATTATTCTGTTCATACCATTACCTTTTTCATAACATACAAGAATTTTATGTTTCAATTTTTTTTTGAGACAGGGTCCCACTGTGTAGTACAGGGTGGTCCTGAGCTCACTATGTAGCTCAGCCTTGAACTCTTGGCAATCCTACCTCAGCCTCCTGTGCGCTGGGATTATACGCAGGTGCCATCAGGCCTAGCCCAGGTACCAAGGGCTGAATTCATGACCTCACACTTGCCAGGCAGGTGCTTATGAGTTAAATCCTCTCATCATCTTTCCTAGATTCCTCATATTAGGAAGAACATGCAATATCTGAGTCTGGCTTATTTCACTCAGCATGATCTTTAGATCCATCTATTTTCTTGCAAATGACAGAATTTCATTCTTCCTGATGGCTGTGTAATACTCCATTGTGTACCATGTCTTTGTCCATCTTTTGACAGGCACCTAGCCTGGTTCTATATTTTAGCTGTTATGAATTGTGCCACAGTAAACTCAGGTGTCCAGGTACCCTATAATATGCCGACTTCAATTTCCTCAGGAATATACCAAGGAGCAGCATAGCTGGCTCAGATGGTAGCCCCCCTTGAAGTTTTTTGTTTGTTTGTTTTTGACAACATGGATAGAACTTATAACCTCGCGCTTGTCAGGTGCTTGTGCCAATGAGCTACGTCACTAAGTTGCCCAGGTTGGGCTTGATCTTGTGATCCTCCTGCTTCAGCCTCCCAGAGTGCTGGGATTACAAGTATGCACCACCATGGCTGGCTTTGAGTTCCATTTATATAGTAGATGATGAAGTGATACAGTTGATGACAGCAGTTGACAGTATGTTGAGTCCATATATGGCTTTGGATAAGACGACTATTTTGGCAATTTTAATTCTGCCAGTCCATGAACCCAAGACGTGTTGCAATCTTCTAGAATTTTCTTTCATTTTTTCGTTCTGAAATTTTTATTGCAGAAGTCCGTCAAAACAGCAGCTGGTGAAGATGCTCTCGGTCTGTAGGCTGTCTCTCTGCTGTTAGTTGTTTCCCTTTTTAATTTGATGAGGCCCTTCCAGGGGGAGAACCACCAGTGTCTCCTGAGATCCGTGCCTTGTTGGAACGTAGGACGCTGGGAAACCAAGCAACCAGCCTGCCTCCCTGCTAAGCAATAGGGAACCTACTGGTGCACGGCCTAGAGTCAAACCTCCCACTTCCTCTGCCCTGCTCCCCTGTCCCCCCATTAGCAAATGGGAACCAGAAATCTGAGCATCTCCTGGGAGGTTGACCATAGCAAATAAGGGGGATTTCTTTCTACCATCTCTTTGAAGGCAAATATTTTTATTACTGTTTTGCTTTATTCTGATTAATGGTACTGCTCTATTCAATATTCTGTTTTGATAAGTTCTATAATGTTCTGTATTTCTTCTCATTTTGATATACGTGATTGAAAGAACAACTATTGTAAAGATAACGAAATATACTGTGATACCTATTACTGTTATTCCGGTAACCTGCTTTGATGTTCTGTACCAATTTCACTACACGGTCTCAGTTGGTTTTATTCTGTCTTGTTCTGTTGTATTTTACTACTTTCAAAAGAAAAAATAATTTGATATATTTCCATGTTTCATTCTTGTTATTATCTTCTGCGATATTGGGATCAATTCAGGATGTCTTTGCCCATGCTTATGGCTTCGAAGTGTTTGTCCTACATTGTAGCAGTTTCTAAGTATCCAAGCTTTGGACCTAGGTCTTTTAACCACTTTGAATTGGTTTTTGTATGAGGTGAAAGATACAGATCTAGTTTTAATCTTCTATTCAGTTTTTATTATCTTGTATTTATTTTTGCATTATCTGTGGATATTCAGTTTTCCTGGCCCCACTTATCAAGCAGGGTGTCTCCTCCAAAGTATATTTTTGGTGCCTTTGCCTAAAATTGGATGCCTGTAGTTTTGTGTGTTGTTTTTGTGTCATCTGTTCTGGTCCTCTGGTCTGTAATGGTTTTTGTGCCAATACCATGATGTTCTTGTTATTATAACTTTGTAGTATAATTTTAAATCAGATATTATGATACTACTAGGTTTACTTGTTTTTTCTTCTTAGATTGCTTTAGCTATTCTGAGTTTTTTGTGTTTCCACATGAATTTTAGAAACATTTTTCCTAGTTCTATGAAGAATGTCATTTGGTATTTTGACAGAGAGTGTGTTGAATCTATAGATCACTTTGGATAAAATGGCTATCTTGGCAGTTTCAACCTTGCCAATCCATAACATGAGTGGTCTTTCCTTGTCTAGTACCTTGTTTAATTTCTTTTTTCAGTGTTCTGAAATTTTCATTGTAGAAGTCTTTTTACCTCCTTGGTTCATTTGGTCCCTCTATATTTTGAAGCTATTGTGAATGGAATTATTTTCCTGATTTCTTTCTCAGCTAACCCATTACTGGGGTATAGTATGGCTACTGATTTTTTAATGTTGATTCTAAGTCATCCCATCTTAAATTCATTTATCAGCTCCGAGAGTCTTTTGGTAGTCTTTAAGATGCTCTAAGTACTGTACAGGATGTCATCGGCAAACAAAGATAATTTGATTTCTCCCTTTCCTATATGGATCCCTTTTATTGTTCTTTTCTTGCCTGGCTGCACAGGGTAAAATTTTAAGAACCACTATACTGAATAAGCGTGATGGAAGGGGTCACCCTCTGCTTGTTCTTTTTTTTTTTTTTTTTTACTTAAGGAGAAAAAGAAAAAAACAGAGAAAGAGTACAAGTTATACAGATTTACAGAAAAAAAATAAACAGTAGGAAATCACTAGTTAATGGATTACATATTTTCATCTTAGAAATAATTGTTCAAGTTACAAAATTAAAGCTTATAAAGTGGACATTCCAACAGTGAGACTGCAAACAGTTCTGTTCAATGATCCAACAAAACTCAGTACTATGATTATCTATCTTATACACTTAAATATACGTGCAGTTATATCATTTAGAGCACTTTCTTTTCTTCTCTTTTGTACAATGACAATTACACATTTTGGGTTTTGTTGCTCCCACAGTTCCTATTACTTTTTTGGAAGAGAGTAGAACCAAATGTGACATAACAGAACAGATTCAGTCATATCAAAAGGGTGGACATAATAGATAATGTAAAAGCATAATACAAGGTGATCAACAATGGTTACCATAATGCCTCCCGCTATCTCTAATAGAATTGCCTATATCATCAGTTATAAAATTGAACAAAACAGTAAAGAACAAAACCAAAACATTGGAGACATTTTAGGTCTTCAAAAGTGGATAATAGTCAACCAGAATGGGCGTCATAATGAATCCCACTATCATCACAGCTGTTGCCTAAACTTTCGAACCTGGTACTATCAAGCAAAACAGAATAGAGGAACATCAGTAAAAACAAGATGGTGAGAGCAATACAGGGCTTTAAATCAAGATAATGGAAAGTCAAAGTGGGTTACTATAATATATTCTGCTATTTTTATTAATTTTTCCCTTAATTAAAAGGATAAAAATAAAAAAGTGAATAATAAAATGAAGATTGAGATAAAAGAGGGCATAACAGCAAAACAGCGCAGATCAAAACATAACCATTTAAGCAAAATAGTGTTTCACCACAAAGTAATCCCAACATAAAAGTAGTTACCATATTGTCTCTTTCCTTGAAATTTTTGAGTATAACTTTGTATACTGTAGCATCAAATATATCAAAACAATGTAAAACCATTTAAAAGAATGACAGTATTACAGGGTATTTAGAATCAACTAACAGAAAATGAACAATGGTTTCTGTATAATCTCCTCGTCTATAAAAGTTTTTGCTTTTACTATCATATATAATAAAATCCAATAAGATACAACTTGTTTAGACCAATGGAGACAGAAGAACAAAAGCTTGATTAGACTTCAAAACAAGATGATACTAAATCAGTATTACCTATTAAGACATCATTTTCTCCAAAATAGCTGTTCCTATCATCCAATCTTCTCTGCCTCATTTCTGTTGAGCTATTTTTCTGTCATTAGTTGTCAATTTGTCTTCTTCATTTTGTTTTCTGCTCCATTCATTGTGGCCTCTCTGCCACTTTTTCTGGATTCTTCGTATTTTTCTTTTTTAGAATATCTTGCAGTATTCTCTGTAGAGTTGAATTGGTGGTTGCAAATTCCCCTAGTTCCTCTTTATCCTGGAAGCACCTAGTTTTTCCATCAATTTCCAGGGATAGTTGTGCAGGATATATCAATCTTGGCTGGAGATTATTATCTTTCAAAGCTTGAATTATTTCCCCCCACACTCTTCATGATTTGATGGTTTGTGCCAAGAAGTCTGCTGTAATTCTGATGGGTGTTCCCTTGTAAGTGATCTGTTTCTTGTCTCTGACGGCTTTTAATATTCTGTTCTTGTATTGGATTTCTGGAATTTTAATTATTATATGCCTGGGTGTAGCTCTGTTTGGGTTGTATGTGGCTGGGGTCGTGTATGCTTCATACAACTGAGTATCTTTACTTTTTGTTAAATCAGGAAAATTCTCCTGGATTATTTCTGTGAGTAGCTTTTGTAGTCC